TAAGTTATTTATTTGAGATAGCACTATTCTTTTTATTGGGAATTTGTACCTTTACATGATTTATCATGGTTCTTATTTTTTCCCCATTCCCTTGCCCTCCTTTCAACTCCTCCACTCCTCCCTAATTACAAAGACTTTGTTTCAGTTTTTTTCCTTTTCTCATATTTATTCCTTTCCCTTCTTTCCTTTCCTCTAACAATCACACTTCCCCTTCCCCTTCCCCTTTGGACATTTTCTTCCTATTTCACATTATCTATTATACATTTAAATCTTTATTTGCACTTTCAGTTTCTCACACCAGATAAACTATTTGGTATTTACACATGTGTGTCCTATTTATTTCTCTTAAGAGTATAGCCACTATGTGCATCCATTTAGCTATAAATTGCCATAGGTTTTTGTATGTTGTGCTTTGTCATTTAATTCTCAAATCTTTTCTAATTTTTCCCTAATTTCTTCTGTGATCTATTGATTACTAATGCATTTTTAACCTCCATGGTTTTGCATAGTTTCTGTAGTTTCTTTTGTTACTGATTTTTTGCTTCATTCTGCTGTGATCCTGTATTATGCAGGTGATTGTTTCAATTATTTTCTATTTATGTAAGCATGCTTTATGACCTAAAATATGGTTTATTTTGGAAAAAGTTCTGTGTTCTACTGAAGAAAATGTGTATTCTGTTGCTGAGGGATGAAACACTCTGTAGATATCTGATAATTCCACTTGTCTAAAGGTGAGGTTTAACTCTGATATTTTTTTGTTGCTTGTTTTCCTAGTTGACCTGTTTTTGTAAAAGTAGGGTATTGAATTCCCCCACTATTTTAGTATATTTGCTGCTGAAGTGAGCACAATTCCCCCTCTATGATTGGATTGGTGTCTATCTGCCCTTTTATGTCCAGTAGTTGTATTTTTATCATGTTGAGTGCACACCATTTGTTGCATATGTAATTGTTATATCTTCCTTTTGAATTTTTCTCTTTTCCAGTAGTAGTTTCCAGTAGTGGCCATCTTTGCCTCTTCTGATAAGTTCTGGCATAAAATCTGTTGTGCCTGAAAATTAGTAGTTACTCTTGCTTTCTTTTGGGCTTCAGTTGCATGGACTATCACCTTCCACCCTTTAACTTTCAGTCTATATGCTTCCTTTGGAATGAGGTGTTTCTCTTATAGGCAACATATGGTTTGATTTTGGGTTTTTTAAAATCTAATCTGTGTCTTCTGATTAGGGAGTTAGGGCCATTGACATTGAGTTATTATTGTAAGGTATTTATTGAATTCTCTCATTACATTATTTTTTAAGAGCTGATTTCTTTATTTTTTCCCTTTACTCTCTCAGTAAGATATGTACTTTCCTTTGGGCTCTGCGGTGCTAGTGGCCTCTCTGTCTCTGTCTAGGATTTCCTTAAGTGTTTTCAGCAGTGCAGATTTGATGGTCATATATCTTTATGGTTTCTTTTGTCATGAAAAGTCTTAACTTCTATCAATTTTCAAGGCTAACTCTGTAGGTTTTAGAAGCCTGGGCTGATTTTTTTTGAGGGTTTGAAAAACTTTACTCCAAGCTCCCCTGTCCTTTAAAGTTTGTGCTGATAAATTCAGTTATTTGGGTAAGTTTGCCTTAATAGGTTACTTTATGTTATCTAACAGATTTAGTATTCTTTTTGTTGAATTTATGAAACTTAATGCTGATATGTTGTGAAAAGATTCTTTTCTGGTCATGGCTAGTTGGAGTTCTATGAACCTCTTGTACTAAAATACTGAATTCTTCCACACATTTGGAATTGTTTTTATTTTAGTGAATGTTTTTATACTTTTTGATTCATCTTCTAATTTTCTTTTATTCTTATAATTCTAAGGCTATTTTTTTCAGTTATATAGCAGCTCTTGAATCCGGATTCCATAGTGACTTCTTGTTTTAAGGGTGTCACTGGGTACATGATCTACTTCATCATCTTTGTCTTCAAGTTCTGACACTCTGTCCTCACATTGGTCAAATCTCCTAACCCATGCTTTCTGCAGAATTTTTCATATCCTGAATTTCTTCTTAATTTTTTCATAATTTCTAGTTTTTTACCAAAATTTTCATTCATGTATTATATTGTCTTAACTCAGCTTTTTGTTTCTTCTTTAGGCTCACTGAATATTTTATTAATTAAATCATTTGTTTATTTCAATCTTCTTTACACTTGCTAAACATCTTATAAATTTAAATGTTTGTTTCTTCTTTGAGTCTCCTCAAACATTTTAACCATTTGTCTTATAAGTTATTTGCCTTAACTTCCTCTACTCCAGTGCCTATATGATTAGTTTTGTGGGAGTAAAGGGGTTTTAGGCGCATCTTCTTGCCTTGCTTTCTCTTATTTCTGTTGTTTTGTGCTGCAGGTTGAAGATCAGTTTAGGGTAGATAAACTCTGTCACTACTGTGTAGTTCTTTTTGGTCAGATTCTGTCCCCCTTTGCTGTGTTCTTGGAGTTGACCATGTTTTCAACCTACTCAACATAATATTTGAGGGTCTATAATACGAGAAAATGAAAAAATGGAAATAAAATATTTGTAAATAGGAAAGGGAGGAGGGGGTGAAGGGAGGGCAGGGGTAAGGGGAAAAATGAGAACCAAGACCTGTCATGTAAAGGTACAAGGTCCCAATGATGAATGTAACTGTATTGTATACCTAAAATGTACCAATAAACTTAATGAGAAAAAAACAGAAAAGAAATTAGCAATGATAATAGGGTCAAAGACAAACCAGGAATTAACATACCATAAGAACCAATAAAAGCTTGAACTATAGCTGGGCATGGTGGCACATGTCTATAATTCCAACACTCTATGTTGCTGAGGCAGGAGAATTATAAGTTCAAGCCCAACCTTGGCAACTTAGTGACTAAGCAAGACCATGTTTCAAAATAAAAATAATTTTAAAAGTGTTGAGAATGTACTTCAGTGTGAAGGCTTTGGGTTAAATCTCCAGTACCATAAGAAAGCTATAACTGTTCTACCCTTAATAATAGAAAAAGAAATCTACAATTATAATACAGACACACACAGACAAACCAAATATTGACAAACAGTAAATATCTATAACAACCACCATACCACAGTTAACAATAAAAAATAAATCAGCAATAATAGTATAAATTAAATAGCTAAAAATTAATAAATCTTAATAGTAGTAGTAAGTAGTAATAGCAATAAAAACAGATTGGAGAGAGCAAAAGATGAAAAAAGTAAAACTTGCAAAAGAAAAGAAATTTGAGAATTGTTAGATAAAAAGAGCTGAAAACCAGGACCAGACCAGGGCCATATGAAGCCTTTATTATGGGGAGGATCTACTGGGCTTTCTCCAAACAAAGGAGAGAAAGCAATATGGCCTAGACGGAAGGCTTCTTATAGGAACTTGGGTGGGACTTGTAGGAGCTGGGGTGGGGTTGAGTGCTGTAGCAGTATGGAATTGGAGGAGTCTGTGACATTACTAGTTGCTAGGGAGATAGCAAGTATCAGGTTGCTCTTTTGATGGGAAGAGGGGCATTTTGGGAAAAAGAAGGTTGTCCTTTTGATGGAAGAAGCCGTATTCTAAATGGGAAACAGGGCATTATGGGAAGGCTGTTGTTTTATGTAGCAGCCATCTCAAGGCAAGGAAAATCTAACAAGAATGAGGAGGAGAGAAAAGTAAAATTTAAAAGTCTAATTAAACAATAAAGAAAATAAATAGAATTAAGTAATATAACCAAAAAATCAAGAAAAAGAAGAGAAAATAAGTTTTTTAGAAAAGAGAAAAACAAGGAAACAAACAAAACCCTTAAAAAACTATGAAAAACAAATGAGTCCAAAAATTTTCTCTACATTGAGGTGTTTGTGTGAGTGACTTTATTCCAGGGCCTGTGGTATTTGAACACACCATATATGGAGAAGAACAGTGAGTCACAACTAGGGCCTATTGGATCTCTATACCCACTTTTTGCAATGTGAGTGCTGAATCCCGCCCCAGCTTTCCCAATGAGCAGGATCAGTCAGTAGTGTGTCGTTTGCCTCAGAGTTGTATTCACTCCTGAAGCTTTTGGTGTTAATGCCCTTCTGTGCCCCTGAGCCATGCTATCCCCAGCTAGCTTTGCAGCCTGTGGGCTTGTGAAGTGCCTGCATTTACTCCTAAGGCTCCTCTGTCCATACACACCAAGACGTGGCAGATGTCCAAGCTGAAGCATTTCCCTGGTCACATTAGCAGATATGGAAAGTGAACAGACCACTGAGTTCTGTCCTGGAAATAAGCAATTAAGGGGGCCAAGCAGTCCACCTAACAGCACTTTCAGACCTCACCTACAACCAGCCAGGCTTCTCATCACAGGAGGTAGGACCACTGTGTCCTCCACAGCCTGAGTTCACTGCTGCTTAAGCTTCTCAGGGTGTCCATGTCTAGCCTTCCCCTCTCCACAGCTGTGTCCTATGGCCATCTCCCACCCAGTCACTGCAATAAAGTGACCCCAGAAATCTTGAAGTATGGTTTTTCTGTGACTTCTGATTCCCATAGTAGCTCAGTCTTAAACAATGAACTGTTCTCAAAATGGCTTGTGATTATATCACTCTCCAATAAAGCAGGCACTGCAGAACACCATGCAGGAGTCACTTTCAGAGTTTAAAATCACACTATACAGTATTTGCAGTTTTCAGTAACTGTGGGCTTTTCATGGGGCTAGTGCGGTGGTCCATTGTGTATATCGTGGGGGCTGCAAACACTCTCTGAGCTTACGTTGAGTTTGGGGAAACTAGTTCCTAAGAATTCTTTGATTCTGATTAATTCCAAAGAGGCAGTTGAGTTTCTGGTAAAGAGTCAGGCAGAAATAATTCGTGTGTGTTTGTGGGGGAGGATGGGTAGCATTCTAAAAGCAATGAGAAAGCTAGAAGGGCTTTTAACCCTTATTTACTATGAAAATTTCCAAACATACAGGGAAGTTGAAATGATGGTAAGTCATAGTGCTAAGATCCTGGGACTGAGCACTCCTTTTTCCCCTAGACTGCTGCCATCCAGCACTTAGAATCTGCAACCACTGAGCTGAACAAAATCCTGAAAGCCAAGTACCCTACAGAGATGATCATTGCAACCAGGTGAGTCTTCCTCTGGCTCTCATCCTTTAGGATATTTTTGCCCCCTCTCAGGCTATTTTCAGGTCAGATATGGGTTCAGTTTAATAACCTGACATGTTGAGGCCAAGTAGTGTATTTGTTTATCTTTCCAAATCAGATTTCTCCCAAATGAAACCTCCAAATTTCCTGGATGGAAATTTTAGTAAAGAAAGATGAGATTGAGGTGAGGCTGAGGCCTCTTGCTGCAGCTGCTCACAAAAAAAATCAATTAAAAAATAAAGCTAGATATTTGGAAGAAAGGTTACAGAAGGAAACCACAAGATTCCAGATCATCCAACAACACAGAAACTCTGCTTTCCATCTTTGACACTGGAAAAGGTCTCTGTAATACATACCTGTAACTTCTAACAACCTAAGCAACACAAACTGCTTCTAAATATGTGGTCGTTTATTCCTCCTGGGACTGACTCCCTGGGTGGATTCTGAACAGTCTACTAAGCTCTCCTTTGAGAAACATCCTCCAGAGAGGAGTTCTTCTGATGTCATTATGTTTTTATTTCATTAGTGGAGCCCTTGAACCACAACTGATTGGCCCAGGATGCAAAGCTGACCTAAATTGAACCAAGTAACTCACTTTTATGGACTTTCATAATTAAGACTAAGATGTACTGGTCATCCTATTTTAGACGCTTCACTTGGGAAGCCGTATGAAACTGTACTGATGGTGGGATGGTTCGTGTCACCATACGTACAGGAAAAAAAAAAAGAGGCAGAGATCATAAAGAGAAGGACAGTGAAGAAGATAGAAAAAATCAGGAAAGAGAGACAGAGAAAGAAGACGCTAAGAGACTGATGACATTAGAAGAGAAAAGGATTCTAGACCTCAGTGATCATGTCATATCATACCATCTGTCTCACCTCTCCAGATTCCTGTGCTCAGCAGTAGAAGACTTCATGGTTGATACTGTGAAGGCCTGGACTCATATAAAACAGAGCAATACAGCAGTAGAGTCTGTGATTTTGAAAGTAAGTTTCTTTCTCTTTCGTATTATACTCTTTAATAGAGTCAGGGTCCCCTGCTCAATAAAAGAAAATGTATCTCTCACAGGGAAATTATAAAATAATAGTAAAGAGGAGTCAGCTGGTAAGCCTTCTTGATGGGAACAGTACAACCTCATCACCTTATATCTTTTGCTAAATGAAAAATGGCTTTATTTATGCAAGCACATGTGCTATGTACCTAAGCATATACCAAACATCTACCCACAATTACATACACCAGAACATGCCTGAAAATACGTATATAACAATACACACTAGAAACATGCCCACATTCACCTCTATGACAATAGCTAACACTTATGCCATTTATTCTGTGCCAGAGACTTTTGTAAGTGTTTTTAACATATTAATTTATTTAACCCTCACAATTGTCCTAAAATATAGAGGAACAAAGAGAAATAGATTGCCTCACATCACAAGCTACTAAGTGATAGAACTTAGAATCAAAGCCACAAATCATGCAGCAGATGTATGTCCTCAAACATGCACACCCATATAAAGGCAGACAAGAATATCCATACAGAGATACATCCACTGCCATGGGAGCATTCCCATGAAAATTACAATCCAGAAATGTATGTTTTTCTTCAAGTTTGCCATGTTACAAATCATTACACATCACAAGAAAGACTTGAAAACGTACATTGTTGCCTGAGGCCACTCCGAAACAAATGATATGTGTTTTTTTTCTTTCAAACCCTTTGGCCTTCTCATCACATCTATCCAAGTACTTCTTTCTCCCATGTACTTCACCTCTTCACATATGGCTTTCTGTGCTCAGTACCTCTGGCTAACTACTACCCTTTCCATCCCTCCTCGTATTATCCCAACTCCTGACTCTGTCCTGTTAAGCACTGGTCCCTCATAACAATGTCCATCTCCTTTCTCCCCTACAGAGTGACTTAATGTATGATAAGCTCAGTGCTGTGATTGATATCCTGGCTGAGGAGGCAGCGGCTACCTCAGTTGAGAGAAGTGCTACAGTGCATACAGACAGTGGCAAGGCAGATGGAAAGCCCTTCAAAACTCAAATAGACCACGTAGCCAAGAGCAAGTCGGAGCTGGCCACAAAGGCCCAGAATCTCCAGAAGTCCTTGAAACTCATTATATTCCAGGTTGAACAAGGTAAGAGGAAGAGGGTTGTGGTGACAGAGATAGAGGAAAGGGAAGGTTCCAAGTGATGTTTGACCTGTCTCCCTCACTGTGAGCTCACTGCCAAAATAAGACTAGTTTCTATATTCATGTTGCACCCAAAACTCCAAGGCACTCAACATTTGTTATCATTTTTGGAACTAACACTCATCTTAAACAATTACAGGTGGTTAAGTGCATGGCTCAAAGCTCTGTCAGTCTCCACCCAGTCATGGAATTTTTCCCGCCTATTCTTATTTCTTTTTGACTACCAAGCCTGTGACTATTTTAAAAGATGTTGTTCATCTCTGCATATCTTGTACGATATTCATCAGGCATAAGGGCCCTGAGAGTGGTCCTGGTGGCTCTGACATTGATGGTCATTGCCCATAGTTCACAAAAATCCCCAAGTTTTTGACTCAGTATGAAAACTCTTTCAAATCCTCCTTTTAACACAGCATTTTGTGGACTACTCCACAATGCTTCTGTGAAAAGAAGATAAAAAATGGTGTAAGGCCATTCTAGCTCATTCTAATTGAGCTATTTGAATTCAGCATAAAAAACCATGTAGCAAGGAAGTCTCTTTGCCAGCCTTTGACTTATAACCATGGTACCATCTTCTGCCTTAATACCTTTAGTTATATCTTCAGCCATGTTTCCAGGAATGAAAAGAAATCTCCCTTTTGCATTGTGGAAAGTTAAATGGCTTGTTTACATCTATTTCTATAATTAGCTCCCAAATAGGAAAGCACAGATTCATCTAATAGAGCCATAACTCTGTCACAACGCACCTTCATTCTGCTCCATTAATAAATATGTTAGATTTAGAGGCGTAGCTTGGGGCTTTGGGAAAGGAAAGGCTCCATAGTTCAATAGGGATTAAATCCATGAGCTTTGGACAGGCTGAGCATTTGAGCAACAGCATGTAAGTTGGTGAAAAGATGACTTCTCCAATGTCCCGGGTATGGATGAGACATTTGAGTGAAAGAGTAGTATTTTCCTAGAGGCCTCAGTCTAGCAAAAATTATGTGAATAAATGAAGTAACAGAATGGAGGTAGAGCATGGAAATAGTCCCACCCTTCTCCATCCTATCCCTGGCCCAAGCTCCTACTCACAACCACATGTATTAAGTGTCAAAAACAAAAAAAAAGGTAGTGAAACAGAAGGTTCAGGGATGGATGTGTAAAGACATGGAAACAACACTGTAAGGAAGCTGAGAGTACAAAAAGCATCACAGAGGAGAGGTTATGGTCAAATGAGAGTCTCCATTGCCTATCCCCATGCTGACTGGCATTCAGTTAACAAAACAGATGCTCAATAAATGTAAAAAATCTTTCTTCTCCTCTTCTTTCCCTCTCACCTTCTCTCCCCCCTCCTTCCCATCCTCCCTTCTACTTTTTCTCCATAGTTCTGGATGAGGAAAGCAGACAGACAATATCAGTTAAGAACTTTACGTCATCTTTCTTCCTGGGAGATAATGATTCAGAGGATTCTAACCAGATGAGTCCAAGACACCGTAAGGATCTTTCTCTTCCCTCTTCTCCTATTCTAGCCTTCATCAGTATCAACTGGTTCCCCAAAGATAAATATGTGGAAAGAAAGTGTGGCATTTATATACCATGGAGTACTAGCTGCTGTAAAGAAGGATAGACTTGAGTCATTTGTAGAAAAATGGATGTATCTTGAGACAGTAATTTTAAGTGAAACAAATCACACAAGCTTAAATATTGCATGATTTCTCTTACATGAGAGACACAAAATGTAAAGAAAGATCAAAATAAATGATAGAGAATAGGAAAAGGGAGATAGATCTTTTGCAAAAGGGAAGGAGACCAAGAGATGGTGGGAGGGGGAAAGATGGGGAGTGGAAGGGGATGAAAAGAGAATTAAGGTGTGTTATCTACATGTACCAACTCCCATGAGGATTCTAATCGTTATGTACTGAAAACATGTACTAATGAAAAAGTAAAAATTAAAAAGAAAAAATGTGCTTTGTCATGCATCTTCCTTCAGCCATAATCTTACTCTGTACTAGACAGTCTTCCCTTTTCCCAAAAAATCTCACACTATCAGATCTCATGCCAATGTCCAAAGTAATGATTCCATTATGCACTTGAAAAGGCTTGCCTGAAGAAACCCATTTTGAAACAGTTTTTACTGCCAATAGCAAGCAGCCCAGCCTTTCTATTCTCTCAGTGAAGTCTGTATTCACTTACGAAGAGCCCTATTTGGAATGACAATCCTAAATATTATTTAAGAGAAAGTTGAGTTTGACTCACCCCCCAGTAGAGGAAATGAGGTCAAGTACAAGTGGGAGAAAAGGCTTTGTGTGTGTGTATATATGATATCAACGTGACGTCTTTGGGTCTAGGTTCTCGCCGTGCCACTTTGTCTTCTATATCTTCTCTCAAAAGTGAAGACCTAGATAACCTTAACTTGGAATATTTATATTTTACACCTGAAATGATGTAAGTATTTAACCTTATTATCTTTTTTACTAGTGTATAGTTATACTGATTGAGTACTTTCATTTTGGCAGATTTGTACATGCATATAACATCACTGGCTCGCTTTCATCCCATTACCTACCCCCTTGCACCTCTCTCTCCCTGCTCTCTGGTTCTTCTTTGCGCTTCTTCCTGTCTCTGGTTAAGAGCACAGTTTCAGGCTAGCCAGAGGAAAATCGTGACTCTACTTACTAGTTGTTTGACATACACAGTGACAACCAACTAGAACCTTAGTTTCCTCACATGTAATGAAAGGAATTATACAACCAGCCACATAAGGTTTTTGCGTCTACTGAGTTTATATACAAAAAAAAAAATACTTGCATTGAGCAGTGCTTGCAACCCATAGTTAAATGTTATGTGTTTGCAGTTACTATCATTAGTATACACACTTGACAAATGTGAGCCATTGTTATTTCAGAAGATGTGTGTTTCCACTGTTGCTTTTAACCATAAGTGGTTGAAAATACTGAAAATCAGTTTCTCTAACTGATGTTAAGAAAATCAGTCTGGACATCGTTTAGAGAAACTCCAATTTCTGGACTGTAGCTGAGGGAGGAAATCCTATGGGAGTTATGTAAGTTCAGTTTAGTAATAAATGAAAAAGTTATCTACTATTAAATAGTTAAACTGTACCCATTTTCAACTTCTAAAAGAAAGGCACAACTAGCAACTATTTACGCTTTCTTTCTTATTCCTGTCTTCAACCCCCACCCCAAGTCCCTTCCATGTCACCACTGGCTTAAATTCAGGTCTGACTTTTCATAAATCTACCTACTGTGTTTTCATCATTAGTGTGCTGACGGGTGGTTAATAACCAGAATTGGGGGGGGGAGCAATTTATTCCTAGTGTAAGCCCTCCAACCATGACCTATTTTAAGCTACTGCTGTAGTGTCATTGAATGTATAGTTGGGAACAGATATGCATAATCAATTTATAGGAGCTAGTACAAACCAGATCTAGCACACTACCAGTTTTGATGCTGACACCTCTCAATGGATACAGGAGACTAAAAAGATTTCTCTCTCTCTCTCTCTCTGCATATAT